GTTAAATATAAAAAATACAGCTAGCAATAAAAATGAGAAAAAACTAAAACACCTTTACATGCTAAATATTACCATATGAATCGTTTTATGAGAAACAAGTTTTTAAGCGTGCATCTCTCCAAGCACTGCCTGGTCATATTCCCTAGGAAGAAAAAGGGGCTTCAGGAACTCACCTGTGACGTCCAGGTGGAAGGAGACCTTCTGGCCCCCAGCCTCACAGCTGTACTCCCCGGCGTCCACCTTGCCTGCCTGCTGCACCACCAGCCGCCGCACTCGGCCAGTGGCCTCCACACGCACCTTCGAGCTCGAGCTCAGCTTCTTCCCAGCCTTGTACCACGTCACCTCTGTCTGGGCCTGGGCCACCTCACAGCTCAGCGTGGCATTAGCCCCTGCCTGGGCCTTCACCTCACTCTGTGCCGGCTGCTCTTTGGCAAACACCACCGCAGGCTCTGGGGACAGAAGGGATGTGTGGTCAGAGATACCATCTGAGTTAGGAAGACAGCATAGGGCAGGGACGTGGAAGAGCCAGGAGTTTCTGGAAGCAGCTCCAGTCAGGCCCTCTAGCTCTAACACAGAAAAGCCCCAATGCTTCTGCAGTAACAATTTACCACAGTTTATTTATTTCCTAGAGTGGCTGGTGGGTTCAAACTGCCCTGCTACTACTGTACCTGGTGGGATGCTTTATGAGACTGCTCCTGGGAACATGTCACTCCAGGAGAGGACTGCTGGGATGCATGTGTACTTTCAAAGCTGACTAAATGACAAAGTGCAGTGCTAGGAACCTTCCCAGCAGTAATGCAGGGTGGTGCCAGGTACTCAGAGCCTATCAAGTGTGCTGGCCCCTGGCCAGCTGCTGGGCACAGGGCTCCATCGCCCCTGGCTTTGGTGAACACTCACTGCCCTGATGGCTATTAAAAGAAAGCAGCTTTCCCAAACTGACTGGTCATTTCCATGTCCTTGCTATGATGCTACTGTTGAAGTCTTTAGCCAATTTTCTATCTTTTTTCATAATCCACTTTTGAAGCTTTACGATTTTTGGAGCCTCTTGATGGCAGAAACCATTTGGGCTAAGCTACTACCAAAAAGCTGGGGGTTGACCCAGAACAGCCACAAAATAAAGTCTTGGTGAGCTACTTTTGTAAGATTAAAAGTCATTGACTGCAGAAGAGAAATAGAGAGTGCTCTGGTGGTAAGGAGCTTCACTGCCAGCCCAAAACCACACACAGTTTGAGTCCCCCAGCTGCTCCGTGGCAGAAAGATGGGTCATTTCTTCCACGCTATTTTCAGCCTCTCAAAAACCACTGGAGGGTCAGCTATGGGCCAATTCTGACTTGATGGTACATAACAACAGTGT